GGAACGCCGGGAACCAGTAGGGGCGGGGAACCCTACTGGGAAGAACTAAGTCTTTGTGATGGGTGCGCGGGTGGCGCGTACCACGGGGGACTTAGCCCCTTAGAGTCTTCGCACTCTCGAATCGGCGAAGAGCAGCGGCGGGTTGCTCGTAGTACACGGATGTGTACGGGGATACAATCATCCCTTTAGAATCTTGATTGACTCTGGGGCGTCGAAGAATTTCGCACGCCGCCAGACGGTTGCTCGTAACAGCAACAAGTTGTCCGATGCTTTGAGAGAAAGCAAGGGCAACGGGACGGTGTCAGTGCGACTGGCCGACGGGAAGGTCGTCACTGTCCCCAACGTCCAAGTGGATCTGGCCGTCAAGTTTGAAGACTTTGACAGCCTCGAACCGTTCACTATTCTCGACATGGATCCCTACGATATGATCCTGGGCATGTCCTGGCTTGAGGAGCACGAGCCCTGGATCGACTGGCGAGGCAAGGCAATCGGTGCAAGCCGCCCTGCGAAGTCCGACAGATCATTGGTGAGTCATGTTCCCACCTCTGTCAGGACCCGGGGCGCCCGCAAGGGCTGCCAGGGTACCAAAGCATCCGACAGATGCTTTGATGGTGGCAGCGCCCAGAGGAGGCGCTGGCCAAGTGGGTAACTTAGGTCCACAAGCGGGTAACAGAGCTCCACACACGGTCGCCCAGACCTTAACTGAAGAGGAAGACGTCGGATACGCTTCCTGTGTGGGTAACAGAGTTCCACTCACGGTCGCCCAGACCATAACTGAAGAGGAAGACGTCGGATACGCTTCCTGCGTGGGTAACACAGTGCCACACGCGGTCGCCCAGACCTTAACTGAAGAGGAAGGCGTTGAACACGCTTCCTGTGTGGGTACAACAATACCACACGAGGCCACGAGTGCCTCGGATGTCGTAGCAACGACATCCCTAGACGTGGACAGCAAAGCTCCCCGTCACAGACGCCGTCGGCAAAGACGCCGCCGCCGCCTCAAGTCGGATCCGAACTTCGTTCCGATCGACGTCGCCTCAAGCGACTCGGAGTCCAGGGCCCGGGCTCCTCCGACAAGGCCGGTGAAAGAGTGTTATCACTTCTTCGATGGCGAGACAGGTTTACCCGTCAAGGCATCTGGTGTCCACTTGGAGCCGTTGCCAGAGGTTGCAGGGATACTGAACCTCGAGGAAATGACGGCTGAGTCTTTCCTGGCCAACCTCAAGGCTGGAGAGATTGCTGAGATGGTACTCATGAGACCTGAGACCACTCAGGAGGAGCTGAACTCCTCCTCTGTATTGGACGAGAACGTCCTGGAAGACATGAACAAGCAGCGTCAGGCGCGCTTGGGTTCTGAGATTCTCAAGAACCCCAAGGATCCGGTGTATCCTTTGGTGACGGAGTATGCGGACGTGGTGAACAAACACCCACCGACCCAACTCCCACCGGATCGAGGCGTACGGCACGAGATTGATCTCGTGCCCGGCACAAAGTATTGTGTCACGAGGCAATGGCCTCTCCCGCGCGAACAGTGCGAGGTCATTGATGCCTTCTTCGCCGCGAAAGCGAAGGCAGGCATGGTGCGGGAGTCGAAATCCCCGCACTCGACGCCGACTTTCTGCGTTCGTAAGCCGAACGGAAAGTGGCGTCTGGTTCACGCTTATAACAAGCTGAACAACGCAACGGTGCCGGCCCAAACACCGATCCCACGAAAGGATGTGTTGTTGAACAACATGGCCGGGAGCGTACTGTACAGTGCGCT